TATATATATATAAGAGCTGTGGGCAAAAATAAGAACCTTTGAATAACTTAGAAGCAGAGAAAACACGCTTATATTGCCTTGATATGCGTGTTACAGTGTGTCATTGAATAAAAATTACCTCCTTTGTGTAATAGGAGTTTCATCCCTAGTACAATTCTAAAAAAAAAAAGGTAAAAATCTTTTTTTTTTTCGTGAATCACTGATTTGCTGTTGATACGGGATGACATTCATGCTGTGATATCCGATTGGACGCGAATATCATGGCCCTTCGTTAGTCGTGTGCAACCGTTTGGTAGTGCTCTCCGAGGTCTTGGAGCTCGAACCTGATTCGGGGGGCGTTATCTCGATGGCTCCAGTGATAAGCGCTTCGTTCGGTCCTTAGTATGAGAGGTTCCTAGCTTCGATTCCGATTCCATGCAGTTATGTCCTTGCTTCATTTGCCTAACCGGGAAATCGGGGTGCTTATTAGCCCCGGCTTTACCCGTATACAGATAGTCCTCTCGTTTCTCAGAGAGTTGGCTTGCCGAAACGATGAGCAACGATAGATGTTCCCCGATTCCTTCCTTCGTACGTTACAACCGAAACGACGAAGAAGTCGAAACGTCCCATCATTCGTGTCGTTCTGACTTCGGACACGTGTCAACCATCGCCTGGTTGCCTCCGAATGTGAAGCGTCGCGTACTTACCCTATAAAAGTTTCTACCCTTTGCTCTTTTTCCACTTTTCAATCAAGCTTCCCCCTTCAAATTTTCTAGCTGTTACCAACTCTTTCAAACCTTCATATCTTCATCTTTGATCTTTAAATTTTCATAAGTGTTCTTAGGTTATTACCCAGATCTTCATCCTACCTTCAAGTTTTCATACTCTTTTCTTCAGCCTTCAAACTTGTTCCTTCAAGCCTTCATACTTTTTCTTTGAATCTTATAACTTTCTTACATAGTAACGGCTAAAACCTCTAAGTCAGTTCCTCAGCATGCTGCATCTTCATCTTCCCACCCGGCGTGGATGGGTACTTAAGTGTTTACACTTACCCATTCACGCTGGGCCCGGTGGACCCAGTGATTTTGACCTTCTGTAAGAGGTATGAGGTGTGCCTCGGGCAAATCCACCTGTCTCTTTGGAGGATCGTGATCCTCCTACATTATTTTGTGAACCACATCGAGTCCTCTCGGTTTATCCTCGACTATCTACTCCATTTATACAGCCCCCAAATTTTCCGAGGGGGGCTAATCAAGATCACTCACCGGCCAGCAAGGCCCCTTTTTCGAGTATTGATGAAGATCGGGACCGAGGCTGGCAGGGGCGTTTTGTTCAGGAAAAAATCGAGGATCTGATCCTCCTGAGTTCATGCCATTCTCCGAGAAAAGGAATGCATCTAGTAAGTGCCGACTTTCCTTAAGTGTCAATTTTTCTTCATTTCCTTTTTCATTATTCGTACTTGTGGTTGTGCAGCTATTTCCCGGGTTCCTAATGCGGTGCCCCGGCTCAAGGAGTGGATCGAAGGCATCTGCAAGCAAATACTTCGAGCTCTCATGGCGCAAGCTTTCGAAGGGCTGATGAGAGGCCCGTTCTCATGGTAAGGTTTTCCTTCGAATAGTTATTACCGTGCTCTTAACTCACATAATACTGACCTTTATTCTTTCTTTCGTAGGTTTGCCTAAGACTACCAAACTTAGGCCTTTGGAAGGGGATGAGGATGTGTCCTTATCCATTGATCCCTCTGTTACGGGACATCACGGGGGAAAATAAGAAGAGGAAAAGAAAGTCTTCGAGCTCCCCAGGTTCCGAGGTGAAGCCAAAGAAAAGGGTGACTCGTAAGCACAAGAAATACCAACTCCCGGGAGCTGGACTCCGACTCGCTTCGTCGGCTTAGAGATGAATCTGAAGATGATGGCATCTTTGTCGCCCATGAATCGAACCCCGTCGCGGAACATGCGACGACTGTGGAGGTGGGCCATGAGGTCGAGCCCCTTCCGGTCCGAGAAACCGAAGTGGAGATGGAGGTTGCGACCTTTCAAGAAACTTACCCTACCCTGAAGGAGGCAACCAATGTGCTTGACATCGTCGAAACGCCTTCTTACACCTAATCTATGCTCAAGGAGGCCCAAGCGAGCAAAGAAAAATCAAACGAGGTAGCACAAGGTGCAGAGGACTCTCTCCATTCCTTCTTTGATGGCATGGATATGTCAACGCTGGAAGATTTCTCTGGGCTGGGCCACCTGGAGGTACAAAAGAAGGATGTGTCACCGGGAGCTGAAGGGCCGAGCATGAGCCCACGATTAGTGAAACAATTTCTTGCGCCGAGTGTGGACCCCGAGCGCAAGAGGACGATTATCCTCATGGTCCCGCAGGATGCCCAAGTTCTATCCGCTCCTGTGAGCGTAGCCAGTTACCTTCGATGTCTGGTAACCGAGGAGGACCAAACAAAGATGAACGAGGTGGGTACGTCGAGTCTCTTCAACGAGGCACAGCATGCTTTGAACCGGGTAAGGTTCCAACACCTTCGAGCTCCTCTCATGAATCACTTAGAATTTCCCTTTGGTGTTTCTTACTTAATTCCCTTTCTTTACAGGCCTCAGTGCTTCACCATGAGAGCTTCCTCCGGTACCGCTTGGAAAATGGCCAGCTCGAGTTTGAGCTCAAGGACCAGGCCCGAAAAAGGACATGTATAAGCTTCTTAGCGAGCAACAAGACGGAGCCATCAAGGATCTTCAAGCCGAGCTGGACAGGACTCAGAAGGAAGCGTCGACCCTGAGGCAGGAACATGCCGACCTGGTCAAAAAGGTAAAGGTCTTTGAAGCTAAAAATGAGGAGCTAGTTGTGGTGACTAACGACAAAACCTTGCAGGTCCAATAGAAGATCGACCAGATCGACCAACCGCGAGCCGAGATGAATGAGGTCCAGGCCATGGCCAATGGGTGGAAAAGCAAAATGGAACTGTTGGCTTCGGAGAAGGAAACCGCTAAGGAAGAGATGGCTTCGGTTGAGAACCAACTTCGGGTAGCAAAGGAGAAAGCCGACAAATGGTCTCAGCTGAACGACGATCTTCGGGCACAACTGAGATCGGCCATCGCAGAGCGGGATGCCCTTGGCAGAGAATATGAAGAAGTGAAGTCCAAGTTGGACATAACCTCTGCCGATGTCGAAGAAATGGTGGCCCAGTACAAAGCCGATGTGGAGGTAACCGAGGCCCGCCTGAAGATAAAGGTCGAATATATGAAGCAGTTTTCCCGAAGAGAGACCCTCAAAGAGATATACGCCCGGGGATTCGACCTATCGACTGAGATCGAGGAAGCAAATAGGCTCGAGGTCGAAGCGAAGAAGCTTTACGAGCCCGGTGATGTCGATGGTTCTGAGGGATCCGAAGGCTCCGATGGTTCTGGCAGCGATTCGGGATCCGGTGATAGAGGTTTATGCACAAATTGCAAGGTTATCCCTAGCGAGAGTCTCTTAACCTAACACAAGCTCTTGGTTATGGATATAAAGTTCAAGAGGAAGAGGAAGAAGATAGTGGTGTATGGTTAACCTAAGATCAGGTAGGGAGGCTTGACTAAGAACAAAGCTCAAGAGTTGGGGGAGGAGATGCTGGCAATGGGGGCCTGGAGGAGTAGTGGGGATGAGAGTAGTATGTCGACCACGACAGCGAGCTGCATTCGGAAAGCTGCTAGAGAGGTGTTAGTGGTCTCGAAGGATTATGTTGAAGGATACAAAGGGGATCAGTGGTAGAGTGAAGAGGTCCAAGGTAAAATGGAAACCAAAAAAGCAGTGTACGTGGAGCTGATGGAGAGCAAAGACGAGAAGGAGAAAAAAACTAATAAGGAAGGATATAAGAAGGCAAATAAGGAGGCGAAGTTAGCGGTTACAGTGGCAAAGACTACAACGTTTGGTCGTCGTATGAAGAACTGGGGGTCAATAGGGGATAGGAAGTTATACTAGCTTGATAAGGTGAGAAAGAGGAAGGCCCGCAACCTGGACGAAATGAAGTGCATCAAAGTCGAGAAAGATAAAGTATTGGTAAAAGAGGAACTTATTAGACGAAGATAGCAGACATACTTTCATAAACCCTTGAACAAAAGGGGGAATAGGAATATTGTGCTACGCGAGTTGGACCACTCTATGAGTCGACGTGATTTTAGGTATTGTAGGCATATTAAGACTGAAGAGTTTGAGTGGGGCTATGCGTAGTATGAACAGGTGTAGAGTGACCAGGCCAAACAAAATCCCGGTGGAATTTTGGAAGTACGCGAGCAGGGAAGGCTTGGAG